TTTATTTACCAACTCAGTTGCTTAGGAAATTCACATTAATGTGATCTTATTTGCAAAAAGAAAAAAAATGAGAGAGGAAGTGAGATTTGCCTGACCTGGAAACAGCTAGAGACCCATATTCCTGTTGGTTATAGTAAATGTGACTTTCTTCCGCTCTGTCATCTGTGCAGTGTCTTCACAATCTCAAAGAAAGCCCTGAACCAGGCATTTTCTATGTTGTCTCCTATATCCACTCACAGTGTACGCACATGTGTACACACACACAATTTTTTTTTTATTGTAATTTGGGTGGAAGGTTTTAGAGCAAATTCATTTTCCATATAACAGTTCCTATAAATTTTGTTTCGTGACATTGACTGCAATCCCAATAACTTAACAACTCTCTTCCTACTTCCTTTCTGTGGTTACGTTTTCCCTGTGTTCTTCTTTCCTGTGCATTCCTGCCCTCTGAGCTATCTCCCTGTGCAAATACTGCTCTTCTGATCGCCCACAAATGATTGCTGTAAGGAGTGTACCCACCTGGTGTAAATGTGCACTTTATATGCCTGTCTATTGTTTGGCTGGAAGCCACAAGAATGAGTTCAATTCCAGGCCCAAAGGATGACTAGGGGCCATAGTCTCAGGGTTTCACCAGTCTCTGTCAGTCTAGTAAGCCTGGTCTTTTTTATGATTTTGAGTTTTGTTCCACATTTCTCTTCCACTCTATCCAGGATCTCCTGTACTGATCCCTTTCCAAGTGGCTGACAGTGGTAGCCAGGCACTATCTAGTTCTTCTGGTCTCAGGGTCATGTAGGCTGAGGTTCACGTGGTTTACTAGTCCCTTGGACTAATTGTTTCCATGGGCCTTTGGTTTTCTTCATTCTTCTTTGTTCTGGATGAGGAGAGACCAATTGTTGCAACTAGATGGCAGCTTGAAGCTTTAAGACCCCAGTCACTACTTACCAAAGTAGGATGCAGAAGAATGTTTTTGTGTAATATGTTATACCAATTGAGCTTGATGTCCCCCATGACCATGGTCCTGAGCCTAGAGGCCCAACAATTCTCTCCCTCAGGGTGGTTAGCTGTGGCTAAAAGGTATCTTAACTTTGCCCCGTTAGTTCTATTTATATGGACATTCTTATAGCACAAACAAATATATATGTAGAAATATCATCTGCCAAACTTATGTAAAGTTATGGGTATACTCCATTTTGCCTAGATGTACCTGATCATTCAACCTGTCTACCTATGTATCTACCCATAAGTTAATGTTTGTTATGACAGATAATGCAAGGAGCTCTGGTGGTGCAGTGTCTAAGGCATCTGACTGCTAACCAGACAGTTGGTGGTTTAAACCTACCAGCTGCTCCATGGAAAGAGGTTGAGGCAATCTACTTCTGTTAAAGATTTACTGACTTGGAAACACAATGGGAGTCACTTTGATTCAGGATCAACTCAATGGGAGTTGGTATGACTGATAATGCAGTAATGCATATGTAAAAGTGTTTATCTTTGTTGTCTATACTTCTTGTGTACCTCTCTGTGTCTTCTTTTTCCTTAGTGCTATAGGGTCAGTCACTTGCTTTTGGTATATTGTCTTTCCTTTTACCCAAATCAATACTTGACTCTTACCCATCTAGCAATTTTCCTTCTCTTCCCCTTCCATTCCTGGTAACAGACAAAGAGTCTCCTTCCATATGTAAACCTTTCCTTGACTTTTTGCAACAGTGGACTAATAAGATATTTGTCCTTCTGTGAATGACTTATTTCACTCAGTGTAACATCCTCCAAGTTTGTCCACCTTATGAGATGTTTTACAGATTCTACACACACGCTCACTCATGATGTTACTGAGCCTGAGCTCTGACAATCCAGGAGGAGATAATCAACTCTCTCTCTGCATTTCTAAAAGTACCTGATAAGAAAGTAAAGGCTCTGCAAAATCCTTAAGCACCTGCAGAAGGGAAAAGGAAAACTTATGTACAGTCATGGGTATATTCCATGGGGAGGGGGGTGGAGAAGAAGAAGAGTATAGGTTTGCTGAGGAAAAGAAACATCTATGTCCTGACATTGTCTTTAGTGAAAGTTTAGCTTCTTTTATCAACATGCTTGGAAGGAAGGTTGGGCAATTTAGTTCCGTAGTGATACTGCCTTGGAAACCCAAGGAGGGGTCGCTATGAGTCAGGTCCGACTCGATGGCAGTGCGTTTGGTTTGTTTTTTTTTAATTAACATGCTAGCAAGTAAAAATGGACTCATGATAAGAGGCTATGCATGTATGTAAAGAAATAGCTTAATGTGGGAACTTAAGAAATTGACAGTTGACAATGCAGACTTTCCACAGAGTACCCCAATAAAGTTAGTAACAAGACTAGGAAATTTCAAGTTTTATGTTTTCTTTCCTGACAAATAGTTAAAGCCAATATTTTTCCTCTTAAGTATTTCTGGATCCCTGCTTTTTTTCTTTCTAATGCCAATTTTAAAATTGCTATTTTAGTTCTTCAGATTTTGTGATTTCAGTGGCCATTTAACAAAGTTACTGCTTCCTTGCAGAGTTAATAGGCAGACACTCTTTATAACAGATAATTGCTAAAACAAGAGTGATTAGTCTCAATTACATATGCCTTAAATAAGTACTGTACAGAATTGTCCTTGAGGCAAATTCTATTTAGAACTCAAAACCAAACCTGTTGCTGTCAAGTCAATTTCGACTCATAACTACCCTACAGAACAGAGCAGAATTGTCCAATAGGGTTTCTAAGGCTGTAATCTTTAAGAAAGCAGACTGCCACATATTTTTTCCCACAGAGCAGCTGGTGGGTTTGAACCACTGACCTTTTAATTAGCAGCCAAGTGCTTTAATCACTGTGCCATCAGGGCTAGTCAGATAAGACCTCAAATGCCTATCTCACCCATACTCCGGGCTCAAAGGAGTTGCCTGTCAATAACCTCTGAACAACAAGTTTTGAACTACTGGCCACCCATCTTCTGGAGCAGCCAATCTCTAGATTAGCCATTGACCTGTGGCTCATGGCTTTCATTGCATCAAAAGATAAGCTGGGTCAATCATTCCTCATTTAGAAATCTGTCAGTGACAATCAAATGCTACAGCAGAGGCAGAAACTAAAAGGTCCGTTGACAGAAAGTATAACAGAATGGGTCTGGAGACCCCACAAGCCAGTTCCACGAGAGCAGGTCAGCAGGTAGGGGAGAAAAGAGCACCCATAAAGAGAGAAACAGACAAACTATGACAGAGTCTGTGAAGCCCCACAATGACCCCAAATGTGAGCTAGGTGCCAATGCTTTGAAATGTCCCTTCCACACCCATCCTTAAAATCAAATCTCCTTTATCTTAACAGATTTGGGTTTCCTGCAACCAATTAAGCCAATCTAAATCAAGCCTCCCCAAAATAATAACTATTTCCAGTACCTTTAAGGTGAGAAATAATCTTCATGAAAGGTAAGGGTAGGCCTTCTGTCAAAAACATGTAGCTCAGCCTAAAGACAGCTTTCAATTTAGGGAATCCAACAGATGACAGACCAACTTAAAAGCTGTTAAAATTGGGGAAAAAAAAATCATTTTTCTTCACCATGTTTTCAGTCAATTACTGATTATCCCTGCTGCACTTAACAATGATCCACAGAAAAAATACTGTCTCTAGTCCTTGAGGTTTCTGTGGAAGACATCAAATTGAAAGACCCAGACCTGAGGTTCACTGAGAAGAAATTTAAATATTTTTGTGGGGAAAGCAAAGATTAAAACACAAAACAAAATATTACCCTTGTTATAAGTAATTCAGACTATATTTGGGTCTATAATCAGATGTAAACTTTTGGTTAATATGAAATTTAAAACAACGTGTCTTTTAAAATTAGACCAGTTTCCTTGCAAGAACCAAATCCCGACAGGACCATTGGGAGATGCTACTTTAACTTAAAGGAATAATACTGTATCATAAGCAGGGGTACCAGCCCATTCAGAGAGTACTCTAAGGGTTATGAAACACAGGGTTAAACAGTATTAAGGAGCTCGGATGGTGCAGTGGGTAAGGCATCTGACTGCTAAACACAAGGCTGGCAGTTCAAACCTACCAGCTGCTCCACAGGAGAAAGATGAGGTGATCTACTTCTATAAAGATTTACAGTCTTAGAAACTCAATGGGGGTTGCTATGAGTCATAATCGACTTGTGGCAGTGGGTTTTTGGGTTTTGGTGACATAAAGCTTAGGGGCTCAGCTGCTAACCAAAAAGTCGGGGTTTCAAATTCACCAACAGCTCCACAGGAGAAAAGACCTGGTGATCCGCTCCAGAAATGATTACAGCCTAGAAAGCCTTATGGGGCAGCTTCACTCTGTCCCACAGCATCACTCTGAGTCAGAATCAACTCAACAGTACACAACAACAATGACAACAAACAACCTATTAGAATATCCAAGAAAAAAGAAATAATAATGAAATCTGGAAACTAAAACCACACAAATTCAAGTGTCCAGAACCACCACCAGTCCAATTTGAAATAAATTAAAATGACAGAACATTCCTCAGTGGTAAGCAGGTCTATTCACTGCAGGGAAGGAGATTCTCACAAAAGCATACCAGGCAATTCAGCTCCACCCAGGAGAAATCAATCCTCCTCCGGGCAGGTTTCCCTAACTTCAGCAGCATCCAAGCACAGGGACAAACAGGGATGTCACTAGTCCTCAATTTCATGTTCAGTAAAAGGACTGGCCAGAGATGATTTCCCAGGTAACTCTATAACTACGAATTAGACTGAAACTACTCTGAGAAAGTTATGTTTTTAAAAAAATTGTTAAGAAATTTCTGCTGTAAATACCTGTAAGTTGACTTTACTATTCAAAAATGGCAGATATTTATCATATTAATTTCACCCAAAAATTTATGTACAGCTTTCCCAAAACTATCAGCAAAGCATCTATAACAACATATAACCAGCAATATTTACTAAAAATACCCCAGCATCAGAAGAGACAAATGGACAATCCAAGTGGAGTCTTTTTCTTACCATTTCGAGACACATCAAGTTCCACCAGCTGCATGAAGTTTGCTATTTCTGGAGGGAGCCGCTGAATCTCATTATCACTAAGTCCGAGCTTTCGTAATCTGACTAGCTGGAAAAATTGCTGAAAGACAAAAGAGTTTCACATAGGTCTCACATCTATTTGCAATACAATTTTTTTTGACTAATATGAAATTTAACACGTGTCTTTTAAAAATTAATGATGATTGCACCAATGTCAATTTCCTGGTTTTGATATTCTAGTGTAGTCATGTGAGATGTCACCATCAAGAGAAACTAGGCATAAAGTGTATCTCTTTATGATATTTATAACTTCAATCGGGCAATACATACACTATAAAAATTTTTCAACTTCACTGACATTGTAATGATATTTCTGGGTCTCTGTCATCATCATACAATTGAAGACAATAAACTCTGGTGTACAAATATTGTTTTTGCAGCATTACCAATGAAAATAAAAAAACAGAAACCATACTTGTCAAATAAGACACAAGTGATTAAATGTGATTAAATATTAACATGTGATTAAATAAATAATACAATATTATACAAACAATAAAAATGATTATAAAGACAAGGGAACTTGAAAAAGGTTTACAATGCAAATATAGCTAAAAAAGAAAACAAAATTGCAGGTACGTGTATGAAAACGTGTATGTGTATGTGGACAGACAGAAGGGAACAAGAAGTAAAACAATTTTGTTAGGTGACAAGAATAATGTTTGAATGACATTTTTAAAATTACTTCTTTTTGAACAAAAAAAGATATTTTAAAATAAAGTGAACTATGAACCTCAGCAAATGAATGCTACCAATTAGCTATATATGATAATGAAGAAAGTACTCAACAAAAGGACTAATCCTTTGGATTTCTTTAATCATACAGTTGAAGGTTAAATTCTTAAGGAAAGGTATCGAAACTTCTTTATGCTGGTTGTACTACAGCATTAGCTAACACAAAAGCCATTCAAAAGAGTCACCAATTTGAATAATTGAGCTTATGCCAATTGTTCAAAGAGTCTGACAGTTTCATAATATATCAATGTGTTTACTCAAGCATGAAAAGCTTACTTTGTTTTCCAGGAAAAGCAAAATAGCAAAAGCACAAAGACTATCACCAACTCCATACATTCTGGGACCATTCAGAAATAATATAAGAAATCACGTCAATAAAGTACGTAGACAGATTTATGTGAATAATAAGTTTTTATGTCTATGGAAATGATAACTTCATATCCCTCAGTAATTACAAAAACAAGCAAATTTAAGGCTTTGTTCTACATGTTAAAAGCATCCTCAAATAGAGTCTGTCACAAATACTACTTTATTCAACTTAGGAAGCATAAACCAATGGTAAAAAAACAACCCCATGTGACGTGATTCCAAACTGAGAACAGTAATTCCTCACTCCTTCCTTCTTTATCATGATTTGACCTTAATATGGTGTCAAAATACTTTAAGTTCACTACATTCTTATAAGAGGCACATAATGCCACTAAGACTTTATTAATTCTCAAGCTTCAACTTTCTCAGGTAGTCAGGGAAAAACTCAACATACTATAGGCCTTCCTGCCTTTCCTTGGAGATAAGCCAGTTCACAGGAAGAATAATTCATGTAACTGTCTTGGCAGGGCGCCTCAGTGCAAAGCAATCATGGGACAGAACACACAGACACCATTCTTCAACTATACTATATTTGATGATAGCACAAGGACTCACTTAGAATACATTTTGTACAATTATATGTAAAGAAACCCAAATTGTTGTGGCCTGTTACACCACGCAATCTTCTTATACCCACCCCATTGTTTTTAGTAGAGACAGCCTTTAATTTAGCTGAAGAAATGTTTCTTTTTCTTATTCTCCATTTCTGATCAGATTCTTTTTTCCTCCTCTTCTGGTAAGAGTGCTAGTATCTCCCTTCTTCTTAGGAAGGGCAAGAGGAAATCTCAGTCCTATAAGAACTGTGTCCTTTTCATGAACATGTGCCTTAGGATCAGCTGATTGTCCCCAGTTGCCCAAAATCCTTCTTCATAACGTAGAGAAGCAAACCATTATTACAGATTCATGGAGGACAATATTATAAAGAACGTTAACAACCCCTGGAAAATGGTCTGACTATGATTACACGAACTTTACCATGGATTTTCAAGGGGCATTCTCCCCACTCAACTAAAAGTTTATCTCTTTCCACTCTACCTAACTCTTATCACATCCCTACTCTTGTTCCCACTGACCTGGACTAACTTCTTGATCTGTAACATGTAAAGACATGGTAAACCAATGGTTCTAATCTCAAGGTAATATTAATACTCAATATAGGATATATCCATCTGTATGGCCTAGCATAGCTCTTTTCTATGAAACTTGTAAAAAGTGAATGTGATCTTATTACCCAGAAATTCTACTTCTTTGTATAACTCAAAACTCACTGCCATTGAGTCAATTCCAACTCACAGTGACTCAGATTGGGTTTCCAAGGTGGAAGCAGATTGCCCCATCTTCCTTCCACAGAGCAGCAGGTTAGTAGGAGCTAACCTTTCGGTTAGCAGTTAAATGCCTTAGGTACTGCACCACTAGAGCTCCTTACTCCTATGTATAGACCTTTAAAAACCAAACAAACAAACAAACAAAAAACTCATGTACAGGTATATTGATACATGTACAAGAAAGTGCTTAACAGGTCTTTGTAATAGCCTCAGATGGTAAACAACCCAAATACCCATCAATAGAAGATGTGATAAATAAACAATGGCATATTCTTACAATAAAATTCTACACAATGGAAATGTAAGCTTATTGTCAGTTATAACATGGATGAATCTTAAAAATAATACTGAGCAAATAAACAAACAGAAATCCATTGCCATGAGTCAATTCCAACTCATAGTGATCTTATAGGCAGAGCAGAACTGCCCCATAGTGTTTCCAAGGCTATAAATCTTCTGTACAGGTTTACAGCCTCATCTCTCTCCCATGCAGCAGCTGGTAGATTCAAACTGCTGACCTTGTGGTTAGAAGCCAAATGTAAGAATACATACTATAGTACTCTATTTATATAATGTTCAAAAATAGACAAAATTATTACCTTTAGAGATGCAGAGCAAACTAACTCACTGGCGTCAAGTCATTTTGACTCATAACGACCCCTCTTTGGGTTTCCCAGGCAGTATCTCTATGGAAGTAGATTGCCCAATCATCCTTCCGAGGAATGGCTGGTAGGTTTGAACCACCAGATTTCTGGTTAGTAGTCAAATGCCTTAGGCACTACATCACCAGAGCTGCATATAGAGGTGTTACAAAAACTATAAAGAAAGGCAAAGAAATAGTAACTATAAAATCAGGTTGTCATTTTCTCTAGGTGTGAGGGAAAGGATTATGACCAGAAAGGGCATGCAATGGGGCTTTCAGAATCCTAGCAATGTTCAATTTCTTAACCTAAGTGGTAATTAAATACTATAATTAAAACCTTATAACTTATTATAAATAAATACACTTAATGTTTTATGCATTTTTCTATATATATTTTATTTCACAATGAAAAAAAAAAATTAAGTGACTGTTTAAATACGTCATAATCAAGAAGGAAATGCCAGACGATTAGCACAAAGGACAGCAAGTTCTTTAATTCATCACAGTTCTTGATAATGGGAAAGAAATGGCACTATATCTATAAAAAAACCAACAACCCACTGCTGTCAAGTCAATTCCAACTCATAGTGACCCCCATTGGGTTTCCAAGGCAATAAATCTTTACAGAAGTAGATTGCCTAGTCTTGCTTCCTCGGAGTGGCTGCTAAGTTTGAACCACCAACCTTCTGGTTAGCTGTCAGATACCTTAGGCACTGTGCTACCCGAGCTCTATATTATATCTGTTGTTGTTGTTTGCCGTCGAGTTGGCCCCAACTCATAGCGACCCCTCCTTGGGCTTCCAAGGCAGTATCACTACGGAAGTAGGATTGCCCAACCTTCCTTCCGAGGAATAGCTGGTGGGTTTGAACCGCCAGCCTTCTGGTTAGCAGTCAAGTGCTTTAGCCACTATGCTACCAGAGCTCCTATTATATCTGTAGGAGGAGGAAAATGAAGAAAAGTAGTCATAGCAACCAAAGCAACAATAATAACAACATTAGTAATAATAAGGTTAGCAGTTAACCTTACTGAGGGACTCTCTATGCTTGGCAGTGACCTTCTTGAATAATCTCAACATTGTCACAATGCTGATACCTATCAGTTAGTTACCCTTTGCTGCATAATAAGTATCCCGAATTTAATGGCTCAAAACAACATGGATTTTTTTTTTCTTCTGATTTCTTATGATAATTGGGAAGTTCCTCTGCTGCATTCCCCCAGATTCACTCACGTAACTACATTTAGCCAGAGGATTATATGAGGTGCAGATCTATGCTGGCATCAATCATAGGTCTGGTGGTTGGTGCCAGCTATAAGCTACAGCAACTTTGTTTGCTACAAAGCCTCTTATCCTCCATTAGGCTAGAGCAGTTTCCTTTCGTGGAGATCTCACAGCAGCATGAAAAAGGGCAAAGGCAGAGACTGCAAGGACTCTTGGGGCCTAGGCCTTGAATGTGCATGATGTAATTTCTGCCACATTCTGTTGGTCTAAGCAAGTCACAAAACCAGCCCAATTTCAAGGCAATGATAAAATGGTCTCCACTTACTGATGGAAGGAGCAGCAAAAATCACATTGAAAAGAGGCATGGGATGGGAGAAACTTAGTAGGTTAAATAATCTATCACAAGGTGAGGTAGGAATCTCAGGTAGACCACAGAAGAATGCATATAAAAAATAAAGAGACTGTGCTAGAAAATTCTATGATTGATAACAGAATAATGATTTTTTTACAAATAAAATTAAAACAGAATATAATCATAAACTGATTAAACTTTGGCTAAAATAGAATTTTTTATATTTTCTGGCCTCTACCAATAATTTTATGCCCTCTCATTTACTAACATATTTTAATATTTTGAAGGCATTTTCACCAAGTTGCCACTGTTAGTAGATGTTAAAAAAAAAACACATAAATGCCCCAAAGATGCCCCGTAAGTAGAATCACTCAAGGCAAATCATTGTGAAAACCAT